TTCGGCATTACTTTTCCCCTGGTTGTCATCTACATGTAGAACTTTTAGTCCGATATTGTTGACTTGTGTTTCATTATATAATTGCTCGTCATATTTATTCCCCGAGGATATTTATTCTGGCTAGGGTTTTTTCATTTTCAAATTKTTGATCTATYACAATTTTTTTGTCGCWTTAGRCAATTTTTGTTRWTTTTTACTRGCTTTCTTCTGTGGTTTTACCCCAATTCAAACGGTTTCAAAAATCAATAATTCAGCTTGATTTTTCGAATTGAAAATCATTTTCACYCARTGATTCAACATTAACTAGCCAGGTTCYCKACTGTGGAAACTTTTTCTTTGAACCTTAAAAATGGAAACMTAAAGCGAGTGTGTTCTGTTGTAAACTACAGTTTTTAATCTCGTGTAAGAAAGATTGCGTTGTTATACATGTTTTTCTGTTAATTGCACTCTAATTTAAACGGATTTTGTATTTTCAATARGGATCGTTCGATGTATTAAACCTGAAGTATTTATGTAATTTAATGTAACCTCAAACTGACTTGCGCATGTCATTTAAGCAASGAGTCAGTTGGATAGGAAGGATATAYGCGCTAGTGTCAAGTGATGCTCACCGTCAGTCAGTCACTTGTCTTTATCTATGCAGTCAGTTACGTCAATATTTCCAGTCAGTCTATAAGATAATATAAACAAAACATAAAGTTGTTTTGATACACGTGTCACTGGTGAGCCATTTTTTCCCCTTAATGTAAAATGAAAGAATTCAAAAGCCATATACAATATTTTTTATTTATTTAAACAACGTTTAAAAAGTGACTAGCTTCAAGCATATAAAATGTATATTAAAATCTAAATGCATAAACGAAACAATGGCATATTCGGACAAAACATGCAAGGATATTAGCAGGAAAAATCTGAGAGATGTGCTAATCTCAGGCACCCTCAGAACGGGTTTCGAACCTATTAGTTAGTTAGCGGTTGGTTTTTTGCACCCACGTGCATACAAAACATGATTTTACAAAAAAAAAAAAATTCTCAAAAAATAATACTTTATTTTTGAGGATAAACCCAGCTGATGAGAAATAAAAGGCCGGCGAGTGCCGGAGACTAGCAAATTTAGGTGCCTGCTTACGCCAGAAACCTTTGGCGAAAGTTTCATTGTTTTTTAAAACATTATTGTTGAAGTCCAAGACACTCACACAATATGCCCGAATTACAATAGAATATAAAGCGCAAAACAATAGTTTCAAAGAAAATATTTAAATGTATACAACAGTTAAGATACTAAAAAGGTCGCTGTCGCAAAAAGTTGATAACTGTAGCGTTTACGTTGAGACGATCGTTTTCCATAAGTCCAGGAAATTCCTGACTGAAAGTCTCTATAATCTCAACCTTATAAATAAGTTCGGCCACTTCAAACGCGTTAATAACAAAATACTATCAATGACTAGGGCGAAAACAAAGTGTAAAATGCAATTTACAAATGACGCATACATCAGTTTTTCTCTACATTGTAAAATAGTTGTCGTTCTAGGTACTGGACGTACCTAAAGCAAACAGTACATTGGAAAAGGCTCACTTTTCCCCTCAAAATCACCCATCAGTATTTACATGTGCACATAACAAGCCTCTTAAATTCAGTTAATCACTCCAAGGACCCAATTTTCTAGCAAATGTACCCAACAGTCAGTGAAACAAACAAGAATTCATGTACCAAAACAACCGTAAAACGTGCATTTGACTGGATAAGTCCCTTTTAAACAGACCCGTAAGGCGCGCACAAAGGCTTCGACCATTCGGAAGCTCTTTAGTTAGTTACCTTTCACTATTCCAAGGTGATTCCTTGAATCCATGAGCTTAGATCAGTCTCGTCCTCGCAATCAATGACAATTTCTTCGGGCGTATCATTGCTTAGTAGCGTTTGAGTGGCAGTTCGTCCAGATAAGTACGCCCCATGTACGGTAGAGTAAAAATTACTGTGCGTATGTTCTCCCGCAAACAATAACACTGGCTAAAGCGAAGCAAAAAATTCCCATTAGTATCATGAAACTGCAGAGTTTTTTGATACTCACCTTGGCTTGTCTCTCATCCAGATACAAAGGCTGTGCTAAACATTCAATATCTATTTGTGAAGATCCGACCGCTATGGCTGTGTAGGAACCTTTGGTAAATTCCTGCGTATGCCAACTGGTGCTACAGGAAGAATTAAGTAGTTTTATCAAGGCATGAATTCACGTGAACCACCTACCACACACATCGCTTCGGCTTTGGTATAAAAGGGTCGTTAAGAAATCGTCTTAAGGCCATTGTGCAGGTCTCGATAACCACATCGTTAGCCAACGTTTCCATGTATTCGGCTTCTTTTCCGGAGATCCAGCCCAAAATGAGCGTCTCGGATATTTTGCTGAATGAGTAAATTTTCCTAAACCAATTTTTGGCGATGTCTTGATTGGGGTCGTCGTCCCACAGTAGCAGCACTTCAGTAATACTCGGATGAAGAAACGGCCTAAACTCGATAAAAACGAACTAAGCTGCAGCTTCATGTTTCCTATCATCATCTGTTACCTGTCGTACTCCAATAGGATTTTATCGACAGTTCCAAACAGCAGTCTTTCTATGGCTTCCATTTTGTACTCAGGCAAAGGGGGCTTGAATAAGTCATTGGCTTTGTGCTTCAGAACTCCTAATGGTAGGGTGCATATCACATGATCTGCGTAAAACCTCTCGTTGTTTTCGCAGACTACTTCTACACTATAGTTGTCGGGAGCAGCTGGAGATTTTTCCTGCGAAGATTCTCTACTGCTACCTGCGGCACCTTCTTCCACTACTGTTTGATCGGACTCGTCCGAATCTGAGCCTGACTCAGATTCCTGCGATTTCTGGAAGTCACCACATGAAACACGGCTATTGATGAACATTATTTACATATTTTTTTACAAACTTCTTTTTGGGTATTTTGCCTCACAAATTTTTGTCTTAAAAAAGACAGAATTTCCGCTTATGAGCCCTATTTATCAATCTGTAATAAAAGACGTGAGGAAATTCTGTCTTTTTTAAAGGCAAACATTTTTGAGGCGAATAACCCAAAAAGAAGTTTGTAAAAAAATGAATCCGCCTCAACAATATAGAACTTATCTACAAATTATTTACATACCTGCGCCTTTCTTTTGCAATTCCACTTGATTAGCTTAACTGGGTGCTTCCTAATCAAATTCTCTTTGGGGATAACGCGCTCTAGAGGCTCCAGTATCGCGCTGTAGCCCTTGGGTAGGGTAATGTTTCCACCCTGCAGTTCCGTATAGCTGCCTATTTCTAATAAGTCAATTTCATTCATACTGTCACAGCCAGATATACAGGTTTCGCGTTTAAGCAAGCAGTCGAACAGCAGCTCCTTTAAGCGTCTTTCCAGGGGGTCCTATCGGGGGGAAACTATCAAAACCCTGCACTGTTTCAGCGGCGCCAAAGCGCTCACCTACCTTAACTTTATCTAAGTATAAGTTGATTTCTAATTTGATGTGTTCGCCCACACTGGCAATGCCATCAGGGGGCTCGTACTGGGATATAAAGTATTCCTCGCATCGTTTTAGGAAGCACAAATAGGCTTCGTAGATCTCCTGGAGCACCGCGAATGGCAACTGCTTTCCTTGCTCTGTAGCTGCTATCACCTAAACAATTATCCGTGTGTTAACGCTGTCTTTTCTCCAAAGCCTAGTTCACTAGGTACCTTGTGAGGCTTGGGGGCCGCCATAATATCCACTAGTCCATGCTGCATGGCAAGCTCGTAGATCGGATTCCCCAATACACCGTGAATCCAGTTGGCCCCAAGTTCCACCTTTTCAGGCCCAATTGGAATTTGCACTATCCGGCCCCCGACTCTGCCTCGGGCCTCCAGCACTTTGAAGTCCATGAAGTGGTTCTTGGCAAAGTGGTAAGCGGCGCTCAACCCCGCCATTCCAGCCCCAATAATAAGCACTTTCGAGTAGTTTGAGTTCTCCTTGCTATTCTCAGGAGGCTCAAGTCCATTTTGGGCCATTGTTAAATAACATTTGTTTAAATACAATCAGCTGACAATTGCAATGAGTTGAGTTTAGGTTGTCTCCAAAGTTCCGCTTCTTTAAATGTCAGGCTTTGTCTTAAGAAGGACAAAGATCGACTGAAATTGCCCTCTCATTTCCAGTTTTTTTATTAAAAATAATCTTTTAATACAGCGGGGGCAAGCAAAAATAGAGCGAAAATATTTTCTACAAATTTGTATTATACATACATATTTAAAAAATTAACAACTCATAACACAGAGATTTCTGCCAAGAAGCCGACTTTTCATCATTAAATCTGGAATTCGAATCGAAATTGACAAGAACTAAAATCTGTACACTAACACTGCTATTCTTGGAATAAAAAAAATAACTATGAACATTTCAGAACCCTCCACTTCTAGGCGAAGCCCCCGTTCACATCAGTCGGAACTAATTTTCCAATTAAGTCACGCAAATGATCACATTTTCGCACTTGTTTAACTAGAAAAACATTGGGTTTGCAACCAAACAGTGAAACAGCACCTTGTTTAGTTGCTTGGCCGCCGCACTATCAATTATTCGAAAGTCTTTTGTGGTGTTTAATTGAAACTTAGTTTTTATCTTCTTTCTTCTCTTTGGGTTCTTCTGTTTGTTCTGGAGTTTGCTGGCTGCTGCTGCCTTCCCTCTCAGCTGCCATCTGAAAACGAAATAAACATTTGTTGACCTCCTAGAATGGCTGCAGCAGTGAGATCTTTACCTTTTTGTAAGCCATTTCAAATAATTTCAAAGAACTCTTCTGCAGTTCTCCTGTGGCTTTGCGGATTTCTTCTGGGTCGCCTTCCTCTTTCTTCGCCAGCAGTTCCTTAACTTTACTGATTTCTTCTCTGAGTTTACTGCATTCTTCCTCTGGCAATTGTAGCTGCAAGAAAATTTATTAAACCTTCGGTTGAACTAGCTGGACATTTCTAGGGCATACCTTATATTCTTCCATTTTTGTTTCGGTATCGTGTACAATTCCCTCTGCCTGGTTGACGGCCTCAATGATGTCTTTTTTCACTTTGTCTTGCTGTGCGTACTGCTCGGCGTTTTTAACCATGTTTTCGATCTCGTCCTTGCTCAGGCCGCCGGAAGATTGAATTATAACTGAAACAGAGAGTTTGGAGAATAACCCACAGAATATTTTGCGATCTACTCACTTTGCTGTTCTTTTCCTGTTCCCTTGTCTCTGGCAGAAACGTGCACGATCCCGTTGGCATCAATATCGAAGGTGACTTCAATCTGGGGAACTCCTCTTGGGGCAGGTGGGATTCCAATCAATGAAAATTGCCCTGCAATAAACAATACCTTGTAACCCGCTCTTGAGCTTAGTGAAGGTGTAACTCACCCAAGATTTTGTTGCTGGCGGCCATTTCACGCTCTCCCTGAAACACCTTGATTTCCACTTGGGTTTGGCCATCAGCTGCCGTGGAGAAGACTTGCGATTTTTTGGTGGGGATGGTGGTATTTCTGGTAATCAGCCTGCAAAACGGGTTGTTTTGAGCACCAGGGAAGAAGGCAATTTGAACCCGCCTACCTGGTAAAGACGCCTCCAAGGGTTTCAATACCCAACGAAAGGGGAGTTACATCGAGCAAAAGTACATCGGTAACATCGCCGGCTAAAACACCGCCTTGGACCGCGGCTCCCACAGCTACGGCTTCATCTGGATTCACAGCTCGGCTGGGTTGCTTGCCGAAAATTTCCTGGACTGTTGATTGGACTTTGGGCATTCTGGTCATTCCTGAAGTAATTAAAATTAGTGAGTTTGCCATCGAAATGCCTATGGAATTGTTATTACCTCCAACTAGCAAGACTTCGCCGACTTCTGCCTTGGAAACCTCGGCGTCTTTCAGCGCCTTCTGGCAGGGGGAAATGGTTCTCTTAATCAGATCTCCAACAAGGCTTTCGAATTTGGACCTGCCATCAAAACGTGGTTAGATGAAAGTGATCCTTGATTTGAACGACTTGCCTTGATAGCTTGAGATTCATATGCTTAGGGCCTGAAGCATCCATGGTCAAGTAGGGCAGGTTGACGTCAGTTTGCAGTCCCGAAGAAAGTTCGATTTTGGCCTTTTCGGCTGCTTCCTTCAAGCGCTGCATTGCCATCGGGTCCTTGGTTACGTCGATTCCCTGTTCCTTTTTGAATTCAGACACTAAATGGTTGACCAGGACGTTGTCGAAATCCTCCCCGCCCAAGAAGGTGTCGCCGTTGGTAGACTTGACTTCGAATACACCCTTTTGAATCTCCAAAATTGATATATCGAAAGTGCCGCCTCCCAAATCGTAGACTGCAATACTGGAAAATAATTCCCATTAAATGGTGAATCGATGGCAAAGCCAATTGCTTACATTTTGTCGTCGGTCTTGTCCATGCCATAGGCAAGAGCAGCGGCAGTGGGTTCATTGATCACTCTCAGTACGTTTAACCCGGCGATTTGTCCAGCGTCCTTAGTGGCCTGCCTTTGGGAGTCGTTGAAATAAGCTGGCACAGTGACCACAGCGTTTTTCACCTAAAAAACCCCAATTAAACGCCTGTAGGGCCAAGTAAAAGTGATTCAAATTGAACACACCTTTGTGTTCAAATAGGCCTCAGCAGTTTCCTTCATCTTAATGAGGACGAACGCCCCAATTTGACTAGGAGAATACATTTTTCCCTCAGTTGCTTGAACCCACGCATCCCCATTGCTTGCCTTGACGATTTTGTAGGAAATGTTGCTCCTAAAGCCAAAACATTTCAAGAAGGCGCTCTAGGAATAGTAAAAAATAATCGTACATATCCTTCTTCACTTCGGCATCATCAAACCGCCTGCCAATCAGCCTCTTGGTGGCGTAAAAGGTGTTTGCGGAGTTGGTAACTGCTTGTCGTTTAGCAGGCATTCCAACAAGCCGCTCTCCGTCCTTGGTGAAAGCAATTACTGAAGGGGTGGTTCTGGAACCTTCGGAGTTTTCAATCACTTTAGCCTGCTTGCCTTCCATAACAGCCACGCAGGAATTGGTGGTACCCAAGTCGATACCGATGACGGCCCCACGAATTGCATCTGACCTAAAGTAGAGCCCCCGTCAAGTAAATTAGCATGGAATAAGATAGCAATAACCTACTTGAAACGGTATTGGTCGTATCGGGAGCAAAGACAGGCGCTGGGGGTCAAATTCTAGAACGAAAAGCTAACGATTAGTGATGCAATTTTGACATAACCTTAGATTTTTTGGGTTTTTTCCAAAAATTCCCAGTTAGAGATGATAGTGTTAGAGCAATTGCAAGAGCGACAGAGATTCCAGAGTGCCGAATATTGCTGCTAACTGCTAAAAGGATTGAAAATAGATTTTTTCAGCGTCGTCTTACCGTGTTAAACGCAGAAGCGATTTGCCTGGTGAAGGAGGCACTTTGCGAAACTTTCGAGCATTGTACGGTGGCTTTGGTGAACACTCGCGCTGCGGACAACATTTTTTCGCTATAATTACTGGTATTTTATTAGTTAAGTGCGGTTTTTTCCTATTAACTTCACGTGCAAGGATGACAATTCGTCGATGAAAGATCCGGCAAATTTGACAGATTATGCAAGCATTTACGTGTCTCGTCGCCATGACCACCGTGTGGCGCTGTTCCGTTTGCAGTGAAAATTCCGGGAAATTCAAAATTGTTTTTCACTTTCAAAACCACTCGCCTGCCACAATTGCCAAAATTCTTCTGACGCTGGAGTTTCTATTTTTGAGATTCTCCGAATTCTAATTATAAACGCTGGCAGCTGAAATGTTTTCTTTCTGCTGCCGAACGTGGGTAATTTTAGCTTGCTTGCTGTATGCAACCAGGCTTACTAGGTCTAAAAAGGTCAAATTTGTGAGTGTCCTAACCAAGTTTTTTCATTGTCAAAGTCAGAGCTCTTGTGATATGGCCAGCAACTTCGAAAAACTGGTAAAGACTTGGAAACTGGGCAAAATTGACTATGCCAGGGCTTTAAGGCTGCAAGAGCACGTCTCCTCGCTTCATAACGACTCCAAAAACCACGTAAAGAATACCTTGCTGTGCTTAGAACACTACCCTGTTTACACTATAGGGCTACGCACTAAACAGTACGATTTGAACGAGGAAGTTAAACTGAGAAACACCGGTAAGTTCTCACACGCGTTTAAACCTGCGAGGAAATGCGGCCTCCTGGTTTACAGGAGCAGATTTCCACAAAACCAACAGAGGAGGCCTAATAACCTTTCATGGGCCAGGACAACTAGTTGTTTACCCCATTTTAAACTTAAAGCACTTTACGCCTAGTATGAGATGGTATGTGTGCCAAATCGAGAAAACCATCATACGTTTATGCGAAAAGTTCGGGCTCAAAGCTGAAACCTCGCCGGACACTGGAGTGTGGATTGGCAACAACAAGGTACTTTGAAGGAAAATGAAGTGATTCAGCTAAACGCTTTTGTGCGCTATCGCTTCTAGATATGTGCCATAGGAATACATGGAAGTCGCTTCATAACAACCCATGGTTTGGCTTTGAATTGCAACACAGACCTGACTTGGTTTGATAATATTGTCCCTTGTGGCCTCATAGGCAAAGGAGTTACCAGTTTAACCAACGAGCTGAAACAGAACGTATCAATCGAGGAAGTTTTGCCGAAGTTTATCGAAAGTTTCTGCGAAACTTTCGAGTGTGATTGCACGGAAATTGATCGGGCAGAAGTGGATAGAATCAATCAGTCCTTAGATGTGCAAACCGATTCGGGTACAAAGACTGAACTGATCAAAAGCTAATATATATTTATTTACATTTACAGACTAGCATTCACAGTTCTTGATTTTATTCACGCAAAATCCTGGCAGTTGCATTCCTTTCAGCAGCACATCCGAACAACTCTGAAAATCAAATACATACATACCTTGAAGCGGCGATTTTCGGGAAAATAATCGGCTAGTTTTTACCTCACAAGCGGAGCACATCTGCGAGAAGCAATAGAACAGGATGAACCAAATGGCACAGAATCCTGCTATGGGAAACGCGAAAGTAAGCAAGACAAGGAACCAGAGAATGCCGCCCAAAACGTTTGCCATTTCTCAAAAAAATTCTAGAAGTGACGTTGGGTTAATAGCTGGTGTTTTGCAAAGGTTTTATGACGTTGATGATTGAGTTTGTCCCAGGAAACATTCGTTGAAAAAAGTAGAACCGCCCTTAAAGATGGTAAATTTTCACATATTTTGTCGGCGCTCATTTATACAGCTTTTAAGCGTTTTTTGCTTCAATGAAAGTTTTTAACGAGAAGAAAATCTAAAGCTCTGGGCCTTAACCGTTTAATTACAGACATTTAAAAACATTTTTAATATGTTTTTCCCATGTATTCCAAGTGCTCGGTCATACAAATAAATAAATCACTATTTTAAACACCTTAATAAATAACTAAAAAATTGTCTTACGTTATACAAATCGAACAAGTCATGCTGTACTCATTAAAACAATCGCACATGAATACTGCAAAATTCTTCTGGGGTTCGCACTGCAACCAGCTAACACTCACAATGGACGATTTTCCGGACGGCTGTGCCTGGGAGCTTAACGCCCGAGAGAAACGTTTCGGAAATTCCCTAAAATAGAAAATAATCGAATCTCTTGCGATTTAGCAAAGCTACTGATCTAAGTACTCACTTCACAGCCTGGACAGCATCCACTGAGGGCATAGAGGAAGATATAAACGATCGCACATAGTCCAGCTATTGGAAAGGCAACTGTGCAAAGGATCAGGGCCCAAAACAGCGCTCCGCAGCAATTCATATTGATGACTAACGTGCCGAGGATCCTCTAGTTTGTCGTTCGTATTCACCTTGCGCACCGTTTCTAACGTGTTTTACACCGGTTGATTGTTTATGGTAGTACTCCATAAAATCGGTTTACGGCGCATTTATGCATTAATCATGAACCTTGATGTTAAGCGTCGATCTATTTTGCCTGAAATTATCATTGGAAAACCACAAAACCTGTTTCGGTTTGCATTTCAATTGCACTAATCGGTTTCTGTTCCTGCAAACAACGTGGTTTTTTAAAAACACTTTAATCCTTTTACATGAAGCGAATATATGTACTCTCTACTATACCACACTGTACATTCAATGGTCTTATCGCTTAACAAGAATTGCGGATAATGTTGACACACATATCATGGTTCTTATCTGGCGGATTTACCGGAGAATTTCAAGTTTTTGGACAATAAAACCATAGGTAACTTCTAAAAATAGCCCTATTACATTTTTGAGCAATCAGTCAATAAAACATTGATTTTGAAAACGGTGTTCTGTTAAGTGATTGCAAACAAGCGTAAAAAATGCCAAAAATCAACTTTCAGCCAATTTACAACAGCGACACAAATTGCCCAAATACTAGGACCTCAAATACTTGAACTGTTTCCGCTTGCTCAAATGCTTTTTGTCCTTCAGAGCTAGATATTCTCTTCGGCTCTGCCCAGATCGGAGTTCCAGAATGAGGTTGATCTTCTGAACGATTTCCTCCGCAATATTTCGCTCAGCTTCGAAGTCGTAGTGCTTAAAGCTGGGCGACGACTGTAAGGGCGAGGACAGGCCAAAAGCTGAAAAAGCAATCATTATGTTGATGCTTTTCGTTAAATCAAAATAGACTCGTACAGTTCGAATAAAGATTGGTCCGTTCAGTGCTGCCGGTTCCAAAGCTGTTTGAGTAAACCACTCTGAAAGTCCTCTTATTGCCGCGTCCGTCTGTTTCCTCGCACCAGGCGATGCTGTCCATTGGATGGCTTACTGGGCCCTGTTTGCCTAGCTTTAGCTTGGAGTTTTTTTGCGTTATGGGGTCGATTTCAATTTTTTCGCTGCTGATGCCTGTAATCAATACAATCACAAAATGCAAAAAAAGGCAGCGGTCCTTACCAAGATGAACCTCGATGTTCCACCACCAAACTTTATTCACTATGAAGACTGTGTAGGATTTATACAGCGGCGCTTCCATGGCTTTATTGTGGCCATCCATTATCATCATGTCATTCTGAACCTGGAATTTTGCGCTTAAGCTATGGATGTTTCAACAGCCTCTTGCTTACCTGTTTGGTTTCCTCTGCTCTTGAAGAGGACGTAGTCCTCTTCTTACATCCGTCTAATAAACTAGTCACTTGCACGGGGGAATCCACAGTGATCGGTTGGCAAGGTTTCTCATGCTCGACCAAGCCTTTAAGAACACAACTGCAGTTCCACTGCACAGTAATTTACAACTGCATATTACCTAAGCTAGTAAATCCGAATTTCGAAACACATTCTTGAGGGTCCAGATTGGGGAAATCGCTGTCCACTTCTCCGTCCTCCTCCGTAATGTACAATCCATAATGGGGGGCAGGTTTTAAAACATAGTCGCCAGCATAGTTAGTGCTAAATTTCAGCAATATGAGCCCAATTAAGTCCAGTACTTTTGCAGCGGCCACACAACAGATATTTAGAGGGTAGTTTCTTTGTTGTTCTGGCAGCATCGTCAAGTATATTCTGTATTTTTTGGTGGGTAAGTTGATTTGGCCCGCCCCATCAAACCGCGCGTACCCAGTGTAGGGATTAACTGGGATGTTAGAGGACTGTTCAATCAGAGCTGATAAGGCCGACTTTTTCTGGATTTTGCCTGCAAAGAACTTCAGTTAACTTCTGCGAAGCATTGACTAAACTAACGAACATTCAGGTTGAGTTTTGGCAGTGTCTTTCTTAACAAAAAGCTCATCAAGAGGTTCTACGCCGTCAGGTTCGTCCTGGACGTTTTTCCGCGACTCCCACTTGATGTGCTTCATTTTGGCAGCCTTTCTTGAATAATATTCCAGCTTCTCCAGTCTGGCGGCTGTCATGGAACGTTCCCTCATCGTGTAGTCGCCATCCATTTGAATATCGTATGACCCTAAACATCCAAATTAAGACTTATGGGGTTATTAACGCCTTTAACTTACCAGCATCATCTTCATCTTCCTCGTCGCTTTCATCTGGATCGGGAAAAGACTCTTTGCTGAAGAAATTTTCTCTCACCTGCTTCGCTTCCCCAACCATTACAAGCTCACACATTCCTATAAAATACCAATTTTTAAACTTTAGTAAGAAAATGAAAGGTTTTCACCCAAACAAGTCGTTATTGCACGTGTTTTTGTGCCCCGATTTGGGCAGGTTGAATTCTCTGTTACCTGTATCATCTGTGGAGATAAAGGAGTTTCTTATATGGGATAAAAGCCAGTATTTATTGTCATATAAAGCCATTTTTGCCTCTGGATGATTTTGTTTGTTTACAACTACAGCTGCTTTGGAAAATAGGTTAGTGTTGACATTGCAGGAAAGTTCAGTGTGGGTAAAAGACATTCATTTTGATTAGTTTCTCCTGTTTTCTGGTAAAATTGAAAAGTTTTGCGGAAGTGCGATGAAGAATTTTGTATTTAAATGCTGCACAATTTTTTCTTGAAGTAGCGCTGCTGTTTTCTGCTCCAATGAAGCAACGAAGGTTGTTGCGGGTGTTACCCTGTTGGTATCACTGATGTTAATGTCATCGAAAATTTGTAAACATTTGAAGCTTGTTATTTACCTTTCTCTTGTAACAAACTTTTTAAATATCGTTTTAATAACCAGCTTGATCAACATAATGTTTCATAAGTGCTTAGTGCGTGCAATTACTCAAACTTTTGGAGGTTCGAAAAACTTTCAAAATGCCAACATTTGCAAAATACGGGGCCCTGCTTGCGGTATGAATAGGTTTCTCTGTTAAACACTATCTAATATTAGGTTCAGATCGTTTCAGAGACTTCAGCTCCTCTAACACGGCCATTCAGCCGGACAAATTGGAAAAAGTCCGGTTTGATGAGTTCAAAAAGCTGCTCAAAAATGAGAAAGTCGTTGTCATCGATGTTCGTGAGCCGCAGGAGCTGGTAGAGCATGGGGCTTTGCCCCGGGCCTTGAATATACCACGTAGGCACTGAGTGCACTTTCCAGATAAACTTGTAATCAACTGCTTTCAGTGGACGAAGTAGAAACAGCCCTTAAAACCCTGCCAAATGAGCAATTTCTCAAGAAGTATGGTGGTCCTAAGCCGGACGCAGACAGCCCCATAGTGTTTTCTTGCATGAAGGGGATGCGGAGTGAAAAGGCCCAAATCGCAGCTTTGCAACTGGATTATAAAAAGTAACTAACTGCTTTTGCTGAATGCCAAACACTCACCACTTATCAATCTTAGTGTGAAGAATTATGTGGGCGGTTGGACTGAATGGGCAGAAAAAAACAAAAACTAAACAAAGGTGCGTAGTCTGCTTCTTTCTATTTCAGACTTAAACCAATATAATGTACATAATCAGAGGAAGCACCAGGTTATCAATTTGGGAGGTTTTTGCTTCTACTATCGAAACAGCAAAGATCGACACAACCAGCTTGACCAGGTCCTGCGGGCTTATGTAAGCCGGGAAACCTACAAATTGGGAATTATTATAGGATGCAAAAAGGCTCTAAACTGAACCCACCACTTATCCAATGAAGGAAGTAGCAGACTCCCAATTGACTAAGAACGCAAGCCAAGGTTCCTTCAACGGTTTTCGAGGAGTTCGCCCATTTGAGCCTGCCAAATGACGAGCCAAAGTAGCTGGCTGCAGTATCGCCAACACCTGCAAAGGAAATTTAACAAAGTAGTCCACTTAAAATTAAACAACTACTCACCTATTGATAAGATGCCACTAAGCAGAGGCAAGACAGTAAACTGGACTGAGTTCGTTACATCGCAAGGCGATGGATGCAGCCAAATAGGCAGCGACACACCGGCTAGTAGATAGATTGGAGTCAACGCCAACAGTCCGGCATCTTTCTCATCTTTAAATATTTCAAAGCCTTTCTGCAGCTGCTTGCCCACAGGGGGAATGGACAACAGTCTTAAAATCTGAAAAAATTGTCCCTATCACCAGCAAATCAATAAAACACTGGTGCGTATTACCTCTAGGGCAAAAAACACGCCAAGTACAATTCCAGTTGTCATGTATAGAAAGGAACATCCGAAATACAAGCCAGGTAGAACCGCTAAAACCGCTAAAATATGGAAAACTTTGCGTGTACTCGTTGAGGCTTTTTGTCCGGTTTTTATTTGGTTGTTTACAGCCAGAACGGCGAAAACTGTGCAGGCACTCCAATAAACAAACAGCTTCAGCTTCAAAGGAAAAGCTAGTCATTGAGGGAACGTGCTGATAAATGAACTTACTAATCTGATATCATTGAAAACTTGGGAAAATATCCACAACACCGGGCTTTGCTTCAAGATAATGTGCAAAGGAACTATAATAGTCACTGTTAGCATAGCACAAGCCGTGGTGTAAAAGGCCACTGCTCCTTTTATGTTCAGTTTATGTACAAAGTACGCCAGAGCCAGAATCCCCAGCAACCCCACCTAGAATATACTCATGAGTATCATACACTTTTTAAATCCCTTTCATCACCTGTATAATAATAGTTCCTGTCTGCATCTTAGTCATAACAGCATTTGAGTTGAAGCTTCTAAAAACGTTTTGTCCTGCATTGTAGAAGAACAAGGTGGCACTCTGTGCAATCAAGCCAGCTTCGCCCAAAGAAAAACTCGCTCGTAAGCCAATCAGCAGGAATCGATAGAAACTTAGGAAACTAAAAGCACCGAAAAAGGCACTGATTGACGAGAAAGCCCACCCTATAAATGGCATGTTGCTGTTCGAAATATAACCGTTCTAAAAGCGGCTTACCTTTGTTTAACCCGAAGTAAAACCAACAAAATAACGCTGTGGCCACCGATGAGGAACACACGTTGAAGACCCTTAAGGCTTCGTTGTAGTGGCACCTCTTAACAAGGTACAGGGCCTGGAAAGTTAAACTGGCGGCCACCACTAGGGCGAGTTTGTAGGAATGTGAGAGGCCAGTGGTATGGTTAACTGCGCCCACAATTAAAGCGACTGGCAGAAGAAAGGGCAACCACAGCCCCTTGCTAGTAGCCGGCCTACGAAGTTCTACTTGAAAAAAGGTCTAAAGGCAATGAAGGTTTACCTTGGTGAGAAATTGTTTTTTATGCAGAAATCTTCTATGGTTCCCTTGGTCATTGTTACTTATTCACTATTCAGCTTTCAGCAGGTTTCAGCTTTTTATCATGATTTTTTCAAAAAGTTGCTGATAAGTGGATAAGTGAGGTTAACGATCGCCTTTGACAGCCAACAAATGGGGGATTCTCTCGTATGTTCTATGATTGCATCAAAGTTTCCAGTTGATACACGGCCAATTTTATTTATTTTATACGTATATAGAGTTGAGCTTCATTTGCACAAAAAAGTTTTTGAGGGAGAATTACATCCAACTACGGTTGGTGTTTTGGTTTTCTCCTGTTGGCAACATTCGGCAGTGGCCATAGAACAAGGCTTAAGGCGTAACCACATAGATGGCGACGGTGAACGTTGCTTCCACCATGTGCAAAGGAGTGGGCTATCTATACTTGTCTTTATCTATTGGAGGTGCTGGAAAAGTTTCAGGTCGTAGAAAGTGCGCCTAAAGTGCTTGTTTTTCTGTGTGAAACTTGAAAATTTTTAATGACATTTGTGAATTAGTTGACCTGGAAGGTTCTGGACCAGCCAGCAACAATTGAGTCGAGGTATGATTGTTGTTATTGTTGCTTGACACCTTTCCATTTCACTTTCCAGTCCAAAGTTGGGTTAGGTCATTATTTACTTGCCATACACTGTATACCTATAACTTGTTATAAACTAATTATTTTTAGCCTCCATTCTATATAAAAGCCGCTAATTAATCTGTTTTTGAATCTGTGCAATTAACACGATCAATCTCAGTCAGTTTAAGTAAATAATTCGGGTAAAATCCACTGGTGTTGCAGACACATCAATTGTTTATTTTACCACTTTTACATCGTGTACCAACAAAATTAACTGCAGTAAATCGGTTTAATTACTCGAATTATTGCCGGGTTTAATTACGGTGATTAACTGTTTATTCGTTTATTTTGTCTTGGGATTTTTCCCAACTTTTCGTTTCAGGATTGGCCTGACAAATTGTTTAATGTTTGGTGGCGTTTTGATCTATCTGAAGATTCGCTTACTTATAGATTATTATTATTATTATTATTATTACTTATAGAGGATTATTTGCCCACTTACTTTTCAGACCTCTCTAAAGGCTGCGGAGGAGAGTTTAGTGTCTTTGAATTGAAAGGGAATTTCCTTGAAGTTT